TCCTTGTGGAGTCAGAAAAGTGTAAGAAAGTTTAAGGAAACTGCTCATGTTCTTAATAATCAGTCTCTTAGTCTAACAGAGAGAAAGTTGTCTGGTCTCTTTGTCAGAAATCATTTGGTTCTGGCAACTCGTAAAGGGATTTGTGAGATAATTTTTTCGGGTTTCTTCTCTGCAAACAATTCTGTTTAATAAATGTGTTGGTTGAAATAAATCAACAAATTTGCTTTATCTATACAACATCATTGTCATTCTTCACCAATTAGTTAATCCACCAGGATCCACAGGTCTTAAATATACGGGGTGGGGCAAAAGTAGGTTTAAAGTTGTTTGTATGGAAAATAATACAATAATGAATAAGTAATAATACAAGAATAAAATCTTGTGTTTCACTTACTCACATCTGTAAACCCACGTTTGCCCCATCTTGTATCATAGCCACTAACCATGTGTGGCTACTGAGCATTTGCGATGTGGCTAGCACAACTAAAGAACTGAATTCTTATTTAACTGAAATAATTTGAATTTAAATAGCTACTTGCAGCTACTAGGTACCATTTTGGTCAGAGCAGGTTTAGAGCTTGAAAGAAGGAAAACTAATGGTCTGTGCTCTCTGGATGTCAGGGCCATAGAAACAAGCTCCTCTTCTCCTCGTTCCCCGGGACTCATCCTACCCCAAGTTTAAGGAGACCAGCAACATCCTGGTAGAAAACCTCCACACCCATCTTTATTCTCACCCCTTGGTCATAACAACTGTCTCCTCTTGTTCCAGGTTTCAGACTCGGGGCTAATGCAACAGCATATTGTGTTTCTCATTTCTTCCTTTCCTACCTCTCCTTTTATTTTTTTTTTGTTAATCCAAATTTCTCTCGCATGAAACAGAGATTGAGGTGTGGTTTGTTTTGGGGGCCAAGAAACTTAGGTGAGGAAAAGAGATAATGAATTTGAAAAAATTATCTCATGCTTGGTGGGTGAGTCTCACTGGTTCTTTGAAAATGGGTTTGTTTAGTGAACAGCCAATGGTTTTTAGACCTATTCAATGTGTCTGGAACATCAGCACTATGGATATGAGTAATATAACAAACTAAATGAAGTCATAAGAAAAAAAAAGACTCCAGCCTTTGAAAAATATCTCTACTCCTCAGAGCAAAAGAACTCCCAAGATGTTGAGTAACTGGAATAAAGCATCTTGGTGCCAGGCCACAGGCAATTTCCCATAGGGTTGGGTTCACAGAGGCCATACTTACGTGGAAAACATTGGGAGGCGAGCTGCACACTTTCAGTCAGGGGCAACGTCATTTGTGAAAAGGACAGCTGCTACTGTGCCCTCTGCCCTCTCCCAATCCCACTTTAAAAAATTCACCCATCCCATCTGCATCCTTTCTAGCCCTACCAGTTTTTTAAAAAATCAAATACAATATGTGGGAAGTGCTGCTTTGTAATAACAGGAAAGTTTCAGTAAAGCCTGTATTTGAAACTACTCATACATACTGGGGGCTAAAAGGGAAAGGGAAAAGGGGAAGACACATCATATTATCAGGAGTCAGTCAGTCTCTATCCACAGAGACAGCCCCAAGCCCCAAATCATGAGTTAGCAGATTTGGTTGTGTTTAGGTTCTACCCTCTCCTTGGGTCTCTTTCCCTCTCACAGCACCTTCCCTCTCCCCTTGGAAACTTGAGGAAGGGATCTGATAACAGCATTCACAACAAGGCTTTGACATTGATGACTCCTGAGACTCAATGTGCCTCTTTTATACGTAGTGTTTACATTCTAATCCAGAGCAGCCAAGGAGTGATTCTCTAGTTGTGGGAGTTGAGAAATGAGGGTGAAGAGTATGGAAGAGGGTGAAGAGGGTGAAGACTTTGAAAGGAGGGCAGGAGTAGAAGGCTCTCCTTTCCAGCTTTGTTATATGACTCCCCCTGTGGCTTAACTTGTAAGGGAAAAGACAGGCTCCAGGGTAGAGTGCTGGATGTTACTCTTAGTTTTAAAGAAACATACAGGGAGGTGATATCTTCCTACCTTAAAAAGAGGTAACAAAGTACCAGGCTGGATTGCCATGGTGGAGACCGGTAGGGGAGAAAAGCCACACTCACATTGCCACCAAACAGGATGTGGCTGGAGAGCTGTTAGCTTAGTGCCAAGAGAGAGGTAGGGAACAAAGGGTGATTTGGGGCAAGGGTACTTAGGAAAAGAAGAGATTTTTCAGCTGAGCTTCAGACGATGGTAAATAGTTCAATAGGCAGAAATGAGAGAAGAGATCATCCCAAAGAAAGAGACAACCTAAGCACAACTTGAACGCATAATCAGGACCCTCAGGGCAGCAGGCCCTTTGAAACCCGGCTGTTACCGTCTTGAGTACAAGCTAAGGAGCTTGTGCTTTATCTCTTAGGTTGAGTACAAGCTAAGGAGCTTGTGCTTTATCTCTTAGGTTGGCCAACCTCTCTTCCATGGGCTAGAAGGAGAAGGAAATGATTGGGTCTGGACAAATACTGTAAATGGAGACAAAGGGAAGGCATTGGTCTGTCTCCAAGAGCTGAAAAGTCAAAAAGTTTTTAAATTCAGGAGAAATCTGGATTTGAGGAGATTATTCAGCAAGAGAGAATGGGTGGACAAGAGGAGCCATCTGGCAATAGGAAGTAAGAAGGAGCCTGTGGCAGAGCCTGTGGGTGCAGCAGAAGCTCTCCTTTGAATGAAGGCTATAGGGAGCCTTTGTGGGTATTTAAGCAGGGAGGGAAATAAAATCAAAGCAGTGTTTTAAGACACTGGATCTCAAGACTGATTAAGTGGATGGCACTTAGAGGACATGTTTATCTTTGTCCAACACCACAAAGTGTTCATATATTAAATTAAAAATAATTAAGTAGATCATTTTGGCTTAAATTCATACTATAAACTAGATTTTAGCTAGACAGGTGGTAGCAAGCACCCAAGATTTAAGAATAATTTGTGAGAGGAAAATGCTTAAAATGACAAATTTTGATCATTAATTTTTCTTCCAGTTGTGAGATGACTATAATTATTTGATTTAACATGTTGTTTCACCTACTGGGCTCTGTAGGATCCTTGAGACCCTCTGTTTTAGAAGTTTACTCTGGAAGCACTGTGTGGAATGGAAACAGAAACCACTGAATTCATCTGAGCAAAAGTCAGGAACTGTCAGTTGGAATTGGAAGGAAAGGGTAAAATGGTCTCAGGAAACATCAGAAAATGATCATTTTTGCTTCTATCAAAAATATGAGTCAATCCAAGTTGGGGGGGGGGTGTTATTCAGGGTTTGTCACAGAAACAGAACATATATGATATATATATATAATATATATATATTATATAATATATAATAGGATATTATATAATAGGATATTATACATATATATGGATATATCCTATTTTATATTATATCTATACATATATATGGATATATCCTATTTGTTCTGTCTCTATTTTGTTTCTGTGAAGAACAGAGGGTGGGGAGATTTTAAGGAAATGACTCATGTGATTGTGGGGCTGGCAAGTCAGAAATCTGTAGAGCAGGCAGGCAGACTGAAAAGTCAGGTAAAAAGTTGATGTTGCTGTCTTGAGTCTGCAGTTTGCAGGCTGGAAACTCAGGCAGGGTTTCTATGTTTTGATCTTGAGGCAGAATTGCATCTCCTTCAGGAAACCTCCATCTTTGCTCTTAAACCCTCCGACTGATTGGATGAGGCCCACCGTGTTACACAGGAAAATCTGCTTTACTCAAAGTGTACTGATTTAAAAGTTAACTTCATCTAATAAATATCTTCACAAAATTATCTAGACTGGCATGTGACCAAACAACTGGGCACCGTATCCTAGTCAAGTTGGCAAAGCTAACCCTCACTGAGTGTTCATTTCGATACTTAGCAGGCAGGCAGAGACAGGACTCAAGAAGTTGTTAACTTCTTAGGTGCGATGACTACGGCCCCAGAGAACAGCACAGCTTATGTTCTAGATGGAGCCCATTTGTCCATCC